GTATTAGTGTTTGCAGCCACAGAATAAAGTTTCTTTATGATTCTGCATTACCCATTTGACAGCCACTGGCTTTTCTTTGTGGAGAAAAACAGGGCTTCGTTTTGCGTGGCTTAGTTTGTAGCTACTATTAGCTGAAGAACTCTGTTGCTATAATTAAAATTGATGATGCAGATTTTCAGAGCCTGTAGAGGGAGTGCATGAGTACAGCATCCTTTTGATGTGTTGATGGAGTGAAGGTCTGGTAAATGGATATCTAGAATCTAGGAGGGCATTTCTCTCATTATTACAATTTAGGATGGTGACATTTTGACTGTAAGCTATTTAATAGTGTTTCTGTATTCATTAAGGGCAAAGTTCAACTTGGTGCAGACAGCTGGTGTATGGTCCTTTTATATAACACTTAAGCCTCATGATGAGGCTGGGGGAGGAAGGGCAGCTGTGGGCAGAGCAACTGCGCAGGAGAGCCTCTGGACCCTCTGTACATCAGAGGAAGTTTCAAAGGAGCCTCTGAATACACTAGTTCAGACAGGCTCTTAGAGAAGTCAAGGATGCAAGCAAAGACTCACTAATACCTGCAGTTTGGAGCCTGAGCAACCTATAAATAAGTTACCTAGATAAACGAAAACTCCTACAGACATTCATTAATATGAGACTGGTTGTGCTGAAGCCTCAGGGTTTGTCTAGGTAGGGCAGGACTGACTTGTCTTTCCCAGTTTCCTGCAAGAGTTTCCTGATTATTTAGCCTTGGCTTACAGAAAAAGAAATTTGGTCCCAAAAACAATCAGAAAAGAGACAGTGTTCAAAAGTATGTGTCTAACGGTTGTGTTACCACTGGGGCAGTTAACTAAATGTTATGCTGTTTTATTAAAAACAAAATTCATGTAGAAGTTAACATTTTCAGTCCTTGCTTAGTGGTGTTCCTGTGGAAAACATCTAACAATGCTTTAAGTATGAATTTTTTAAATTTAATTTTCCCTACCTTACTATTTCCTCCGGATAGCAATTGTTAATCGTGTTGATATATTCCTGAAGCAGGGACCCAGGTTCTGCTTTTATTTCTTGAACCTTTTTAAGTCCACCAGTTGTTACAAAGAGACGACGTGCTTTACTGTCATGTGGTAACACCTACACACAGAAAAGCACATTAAAAAAAAAAGATTTTAAAAAAAAAGTATTTTTCAAAAGGAATCATGCTAGTAGGCTCCAATATTGCTTATCTGTTTTTAATTCAGAGGACAGATAAAATGGAACACATCAGAGGTACAACATCTGTAATGACTATTGTATTTTAACACCCAGTTGTACAGGAAAAAATCATAAACCAGCCCTTTATGGTTATAACATAATTTAACATGTACTTTAATACATAAAAAACCTGAATTGAATATTTATCTTTATGTAAATAATATTTCTCGAATTATTCCTACAGAGACAATATGATTGCAGAGATTAAATAGATAATAAAACCAGAACACTAACATGGAATAAAAACAGCATCTGTTCCACTTAAACCAAGTTATTCAGGTCTTTTATGTCAATTCCCACAGTTTAATTGTAGAGCAGAATTTTATATCATTATAATGATCTAGTATAGATTAGTGCACGAAAACAATACAGAGAATTGTTGCAAGTGAACAATGCAGCCTTGAAACATTACATGCTACTATTAAATTCCTAGATATTAAAATCCTACACCACACTGTGTAGCCACGGAAGCCTTTTAAACACGCGCGCACACATACAGCAAAAAATGTGAAGTTACTGCAGCCAAAGGGGATGAGCAGCAGAAATGATCAGACAATACATTCTGCTCTCCCTGAGTGATGCCAATATGCAGCCTCTGTCCAGAGGATGGGAGGGAGGAAGGTGGGGGCTGGGCTGGGCGAGAGAGAATGACAGCGTGTAGTCCATAGGCCCACAGGGCTGCAATAATATTAAAAAAAGGGGAGGAGGGGGGAGAGAGAACGCAAGACATCAGCTGCATCTACAGCAACAAAACCAGACGTGTTTAAACCCAACTCTCAGAGTTACATCCTATGTGGGCAAAAGCATTTTGTAAGCCTTCACTGGTCGGACAAATCAGGCCATAAATTTGACTGTATCTCGGTGTGAGACTTGAAGGAGGAAGGGATTGCCTAAAAGATGAAGAAAAAGAAGGATGAGCTTCCTGCCATACATATATGCAAACAGCCTTCATTTCTCTGGCCCCTCCCGGCTGTACAAAATCAACAGACAGGTAAAGAAAAGACACGGGAGTGTAGAGACTTCTCCCTATTATATGCTCCACATAAGGAACAGTGGTGATGGTTTCATCCTGGGAACTGAAAAGACGGCTGTTTCCATCTATCTCCCACACCAAGAACTGCCAAGGAGGGCTAACAAGGAGACAGGATGTAGCCCTTTCCCTGCCTTCCTCCTCCACACTGTGACTCCCCAGCTGGGTAAGACAGCAAAAAACTCTCTTGGAAGGGGCCATAGAGACAGACAGCACCTCTGAGGGACAGTCCCTTCCCCCAGTCAAAACTGAGACAGCACAGAATTGCACAGACCCTGAAAAGGATAACGCTCAAATAACACAGTCCAGCACCAAGAACGCATAGCATCCCGCTCTGAAGCGCAGCTCAGAAATAAGGCTTTTACTGTGCTATAAATAAGCCCACAGAAGTAATACACCACCGCTCTAAGAATAGGAAATTCCTAAGCTGGGGTACAGGAGAGAAAAAACGCTTTTACTGCAAAGAACTTAATTTCAAATGTGTGCTTCAGAAGAGCAAATGCCAGGCAAGTAGAGTGTAATAACTATGTAGGAGGAGAAGAAAAATAAAACAAAACAAAGCATCAGCTGACATGAAGGGGACAAAACCACTTCAAGAGCAAACAACATTCAAATCCATGCACTGGGTAACCAATTACTACACACTCAGCTCATTAATAGCTCCAGTCAGCACACAGAAGCAAAAGGCACTGGATTCTGTGCAGATCTCCAGTCTTTGTACAGGCTTAGCAAAGAAGACAGGACAAACCTAAGTGTGGTAATGCAACCAGGAATCTGTACCATGAACAGTAGCGCTTCCAGATCTGTGATCACCAAAAATTTATATTATCAAAAGCGGTTTGGCCGTTTCTGGAAATACCTCACCAAGAAAACCTGGTACCCCCTGCTAACAGATTACGCTGCGGAGTGCTGCACAAAATAAAGGTCTGTAGTTGAGCAGGATTCCCAGCAGCTAATGAATATTGCAGACACTGGAAATCTGCTGATTAGCTACCAATTTCTTAAAAAATTTGAAATATTTTGATGGAATTGTATCACTTTTTACATGCTGTGCTGAAATCAACAATGTAATTAACAAAAAAGTTTCAAATTTTGAGAAGGATGAGAAAAGATTTGGGATTTTTACACTTACTTAATTGAGACTGAAAATGAATGAGGACAGCAGTGGTGAAGCCTTCATACTCTAGATTATTGTAAAATACCTGACTTAAGTCACTCCTGTACAGACAGCTTGTACTTTATCTAAAACAGATGTGACTGGGATTTATGTGATACATTGGCTCAGGGAAAATATTTGCACGTGAGTTAATATTCCACTTAATCTCAAGAGGCAAGGAAGACAAAAACCACCTTGCTTATAAACAATGGTTTTCCCAGTCTTAGCATGAATTATGGCAGGTTCCAGGTGAAACAGTATCCAGCTTTATGAGGCAAAAAAACGGGATGCTCCAAACCGCTTCTGCAGGGGATGCTTGAGGATCCTGAGAAAACAACTAACACCTTTAGAGAAGCTTCATCTTTGGAAAGATAGCTTCCTTGCTAAATGGAAAACACTTGACACGTTACTTATCAAGCAGAGCCTTTTCTTACCTTACTGAATTGCCCAACAATATGTTTCAGAATATTGGGAGGGGCATCATGCAGCAATGGTTCAAGTGCTGGAAGATGGGTGCATTTCTGAAGGATGGTCTTTAAGGCTTTTTTAGTCTATTTAAATGCAAAATAAAATTTCTATGGTGAGACATCAATGAAAACAACAAGAACTCATGTATCACTCAAGTCTGATCAAAAAAGCAAATTGATCAGAATTCTCCACGAGCACTTTCTGAATAAAAACTATGATATCTATCAGGTCACTTAATGGAGAATCAATTTTCTACTTAGATTTATTAAACTTCAAAACCTACAGTGCATCATATTCTTATTATGTTATCTACAGTCAGAGTAATGGCAATTTTCCTTGGACTACAATGGAAGCAGGAGTAGGCCCTTTACGTAAATTGAAGTACTGTAATATAATAAGAAAGCTGAATCTAAACACATTTTTAAAGATTGTGTTTTAGAAGTGGCTTACTAGGAAAGTCTGCTGGTCTAGGACAGCAAAGTGCACTACCATCCAGGCAGGCAGGGGAAGAGAGGGAAAATCATATGTCAGTGCTTAGTTTCCAAAAACACACTCAATCCTGGCTGCTACAAGCAGAAAACCGCCTTTTTGGGTAGGATTATAGGCAAAGGTAATTTGGCCATGATATTTTGGTGAGCACTGAAAATGAGTATACAAAAGTTATTTTACAAATCTGGATTTTGTTATATTCCAGTGGAATGTAACGAGGTATAGTACAACATGGGAGACCATATCCTGCCATATTACACTCTTCAGTCAGTTCACTTACAGTTGCTCAAAAATACAGTTTACCAAACTGCAACTCTACTAGCTCCGACACAAGGAGGACCCTAAAGATGAATACCTGCATGTTTTCAAGAGCAGAGCTTTGGGTATTTGTTACAGTTTAATCACGATAATAAAAATTTAAACCAATCTACTACAAGTACTATAATATTTTGTACAAAAAGAGCCTATACTTCCCCCAAAAATTAGATAATTAAACATTTGTCACTCACAAGAAATTGTAACATTTATGGGTGTATGCAGCTCTGATCGAAACTGGGAAGAAAATGAGTGACTAGACTGCTATGGCTGTATATATGATTTGGCATGGACCATATGTACACCCCTTAGACCAGCCAGTTTTAATAAATGACACACAGCCTTTGGACACCCTACACCCAGGAAATCTGTGACTCAATGAACATTAGTAAAAGCACATACCATTTAGCAGTTTTTAAGCACTTATACCTGTTGACTACAATAAATATCTCATATTGCAGATACTACAAAAATACTTGCTTTCATTTGAAGATCTTCTGAACTGCGTGTGTCCACATACATGGCAAGCAATGTGGGTAGCACATTTGCTACTGCAACAGCACGTGCGTGCTCAGGAGTATGTCTTCCAACCTGTCCCAAGGCCCAAGCAGCTGCTGCCTTAATATGATCTTCATGTTCTTCTATCAAGCAGGCACACAGCGGTGGTATTCCCTGTAGCATTAATCAAAAGCACAGCCTTTACAAATCTATGCCAGAGAAGGACAACTTGAAACTGATAGAGATTGTTAGAAAATGTTTTTCTATTTACACTCTTCTAAAATAAGCTGTAAGAGATCATATGCTATTGGTGTCACACTTTTACAACATCGTGGCTAGCAAGAATCTTGAATAAATCTTAATAAATCTAGTTAAAGAGAGAAACAGATTCAGTATTCTATGTCAGAAGGCACTTTGAGCTAACACACAAATTTGAGAGATAAAAGGAATACGTGACACAATTCAGGCTGTGATGAGAGTAAAGGCTACAATTTTGTCAAACTGAAAAGCATTAAGAGTGCTTATGAATCTATGAAAGCAGTTTAAGACCAGAAGAGCTCAATCATTAAGTCCTTTTTTTGGTTTTAAATCCACATCACTAACCATCTTATCAACCTCTTCTTGAGTCCAGCAGTTCATGTTCAGCTCAGACAACCACTTCCAGAAAGGTTTCAACTCTTGAAGACTTCAAGAGATGGAGAATACTTCACTCACGCTCTCTTCATCCTTTCTCCACAGGATTATGAAGCCATTCAGTAGCTGATATTTTATGCCAGGATACTTCAACAGTAACCATTTCAGACTACTTTAGGTAAGGCAAGGCTACTAAATCTCCAACTAGACCTTTTTTTCCATCCTGTAGATAATTTTTTAGTCTTTTCTGCACCCTCTTTGGGTTTTTTGGGGTTTTTTTCCAGGATTCTTTGCAAATACAGACAACAGAACTATATGCACTAGTACTACAGACAATTTAGTCCTTTGCAGTATTAAGGAGTAGAAGATGAAGCATTATTAGAAGAGAGATGTTAACCTTTTTTTTTTTTTGCCACTGCACTGCAGCAGAAGACACAATGAAGTCTTTGTCCAGCATGACCCCCAAAATATTTTTTTAAATTCATCCTGTCCAGAACACAGTCCTGCATTATGCAGCTATAACTTCACATCATAACGTCTTAGATGCATAACTGCATGTGGTTATGATCCAGTTCATTTCTTTCCAATAGTCCCAGTTTGGCAAGCCATGCCCTCAGCACTATGTACCACTCCACAAAGTTTAATTTCCTTTGAAGCAAAATCTTTTTAAAATTAATTTTGAATTTATTCAAGTTTCTTTTATGGATCATTCACTAAAATATTTCATTTCATGACAGTTCACGCAGATTGCTAAAAATCTCTCACTGCACTCCCATTCAGTTATGGTAGCAACCATTATTACTCTTCAAAAATCTAGGTGTTTCCTCATGAACTTAATCCTGGATTTATCCCACTTAATGTCAAGCACTCAACAGCAGGAGCGTATTTGCTCTAGGCATCACTGAAAAGAGGAGAGACATGAACACATCCAGAGAAGGGCCTCCAGAGAAGGCAAGCTTAAGTGTCTATTTCTTCAGTTTACAAATGCAGAAGAGCTTCCCCTCCCCCCCAATCACTCCGACCTTCCCTGCATAACTACTGATACTATGTTGTAGAAATTTCCATTTAATTTGCATTTCTACTGGAAGACATTTCTGTCCCACAGTTTTACTGTTTTGTTGTTTCCACTCATACAGTGTATTTTAAGTGACTGACAGAGTATAAAAATGGGCCAACAATGCTCAGCGAAATTACTTCCTTCCTCCTGTCATTAATTAGCATTATTCACATTAGAATATTATGTCAGGAACTAATTTCACCTATTGAGAATATTGCAAATTCTCTCCCTTCTGTATCATTGCCCAGCAGAATTTAAGCATGGAAATATATAGCTTATCTCATGTGAAATTACACTTGCACAACTGAATCCAACCACACTACATTAGAAACCAAGGTCTTTTCAAGCCTGCAGATTTCTCTTGCAAGACTACTCTAGCAGTACTAGCAGAGTCATGCTAGTGTAATGAAGAACGTGCCATTAAAAATTGTTTCAAAAAGAGTTTTGATGTAACCACAAATATTCATCTTAAGAGGAAACAGACCATAGGAATTCACTGACTTACTTTCCATACCCATGCAATTGCAACACAGAGAAACAGTGTACCTTAATACAAATGAATGTTCACAAACTAATCCAGGACATTTCGTAAAAGATTCAACTTCATATGACACATTTTAATCAGGTTACCACATAATTTCAGCCATAGCAAGCAGCAATATTAGGAGAAAATGCATTCGTCATGTACATAATTCTGTCACAAAATACATTCTCTGCCTATGTTAATTTGTATCTCTCTCTCAGAATACCACTGAAGAATTACAGGAAGACAACAAAGTGATAGCTAACCTTGGAGACAATCACTGCCATTGACAGGTTCTCCGAATGAGCTGCTACATAACCAAGCATCATGATGCCAGGCAGTCTGACAGTCCCTCTGCAGCTGCCAATACAATCAATCACAGCAGCAACTCCACCTGCATTTACTATAAGCTGTGAAAGCTGAAAAGATAAATGGAAGAGATTAGATACTGTGAAGTATCAACAGGCATAAAGCACTACATTAGAAGAGTCTTTAAATGTATTGCTCCTGATTTACAAAATAAAGCTGGAATAAGAGTGATGTATCACACAGATTGTTGGACATCAAGTGCAACATGAAGCTCTTAAGAATGAAACTGCTTTGCTACTTCGTTTTTGATTGACTTCACCACAAGGAAATCAGGACTCCGAATTCTGGACACTGTAGAGCATGTTATGACATATTCGCAACTCCATTATTATACACCCAAGAATCGTGCAAATGCCCTTGAAGATGCACCTACTAAGGCAGAAAATCGTTCATACTAATGCCCACTCATTGCCAAGCCAACATCACATGGTCTGTGCAGGGACGGAAGGAAAGGCCCACTCCTCTTACCACCTGCATTCTAGGTAACCTCTGTCTGTGCAATAAAAGCCTCTGAAGATCCCCCCACCAAGGCATGAAGCCGAAGATAATGTCATGGATATGCAAAACTGACTCAGACTATACCATCCTGGCACGTTAGGGTACTCTGAGGTATGTGTCCAGGGAACACATCGGATGGGCAATGGAGTTTGCTCCAGATTGCCAAATTATGTACTCTTGCTCATAAATTATAATCAAGCTATGCAAAATGTTTCTTCCCAAAAGGTACCACTTCTCACATCACTTGAAGGACAGCAGTAGAGTGTGCACAGAAATTATTTTAATTTCATATTATGATTATTTTCTTGTGTCTTGTTAGGTATATCCCTTTTTTTATTCCAAACATTCCAAAGCAAAAGAAACATGCTGTTAAAAGTCAAAATTAAATTAACAAAACTGAGGCATGTGTCTTTCTAATCCAGTTGATTTCTATAAATATGAAACCCACCTTTGCCTTAGAGCCTTTAAAAGGGGTTTGGCTTATTCATGAAACAGCTAGATTAAATTTAAAGTTATTACTTAGGAAAACCTGTTCACGTGGTTGTGAACTGCAGCCGTGATGACTAAGTCCTACGTCTGGGCACAGCCACATGCGCGTGGATGCACGGACACACTCCCTGGTGCTGCGACCCTCAGGCCTCCCTGCCAGTCTCCCAGATCCTGACCTTCACGTAAATTTTACTGCACATCGCAGACAGACAGCTGAGATCCAAAAGCCACAGTGCTCACATGACTGACACAGCCAGCTCCTCTAGATACATCGTTTGCTAATGTCTCTCTGCTGCAACGTACGTTGCTTCAGTACAGTTGCTCAGAGATGGACTCAGTCACTCTGGAGCCTAATGTGGATTGTGACTTCCCACTGGGAGTCACCAAGATACGCTCCTTCGGAGAGCTGCTAGACTGCCAACTCCTCTTGCATGGAGGATCCTGTGCTAGCAGCTCTTCTGACTTTATCCTGCAGTTTTGTGAGTTCAGCTTCTGGCTTCTAACTCTAGCGCCCGCCTCTGATAAAGATAATTTCTTCTCTTTTGAGAAAGTGGCTTTGCATTGCTCATGAGGTGCAGAAAGAAAGCAGGAAATGTGACAAGGCTGCAACCTTCAATCAGCAGCAGCTTAAAGACTAGTAGGCTGAAGAAACAGCACAATACTCATGTTTAAACACTTCTCAGTTGTTAAGCAAGTATCTCGATTTTGAAATGGCTGCGCTCAGCATTCGCTTGTTTCACGAATACATTGTTTGTATTTCATCCCACTGTCATCTTTGGAGCCTTTTAATTACCTCTGTAATCTGACAGATCAACGTAGTTACATTTTTTTGCTATTTATCGTGTACTCACTGTGCCAAACGTCCCCACCTTTGTGTATCAATTACTGGCAAAAACATTGCAAATGCTGAGACTCAAATTACAAACCCAAGCAAATAGAAGAAACTACCATAAGTTTAATAATAAGAGTATTTTTTACCTTCATTGTCATTGGAAAAATAATTGTGATCCCAGCACTCAGAAGATTTTTTTTAAGAAAAGACACACACCATCTATTATTGTTAGAAGATGTTCTTGTCATTTATTAGCTTCTATGAAGCTTTTCTCATTATATTTTTAAAATCTAGGACTGACAATACTATCAGCCTAAAACTCCCTCTCTGCACAGATACCTTATGGAATGAAGTAGCTAGGTATACATTATATAGTTCCCAGTTTCCTACCCCAATTCATATTCAATACACATCTCGTAATATCAGCAAGCATTTCCATATTTTTCCAATGAACATGCCAAACAGCTATTTGCCCTCCCTTTCGAAAAGCAAATGACAGAATAATCCTGTATTTTATTTAAAGTGTAAAATCTAATGATATGACCTTGTATTAGCATTTTCAAGGTTTTACCTCAGGCGTATGCTTTGCTATCTCTCTAATTAAAGTTGCACCATTTTTCTTGACATATTCATCTGAGTCCTTCAGGCATGTGAGCACAACTGGGAAAATTTCTGCTTCAACCACCAACTCTGCAAGATCCACTGAATGCTTTGCTATTTGGCTTAGAGCTGACAGCACCTGACGCTAGTAAACAAAAATTGTTATAAAATCAATAGTATACAAACATCCCACAACACACGCTCCTCCCGCACACAAAAATCTATTGCATCAAAGAAAACAAAGCAGGACAGGGAAAACAATTACAGCTATTTTACAATTCACTGAGTCAATTCATGCACGAATATAATGGCACAGAACATTCACTGGTTCCTGAATAAAAGTTTCTTCTTTGTTTTATCCCATTCAAGCTTGCTATTTATTAAAAAAGAAAATATGTATATATACACAGTTTAAAACTATAATTTAAAATCTAATGAAATCTACAGAAAATATCTTTATTTGCATAAGTTTGGTCTGTCAGACCTTGTATTAAAGAATTTTTATCTATTCATTTGAAGTGGCATTTTCTATGTTTTCTGTTTCTGTTAAAGTAAGACAGAAAAATTATGTTAAGAAACAATTTTTTTGCCCATTAAACTCCAGTGATTAAACCTTCCACAACAGCTATTCACGTCAGATAGTATATTCTAAAATACAATAATACATTTAATATTAACTGGTTTATAGTATATTCTTAAGTAAGGAAAACCTTCTTTGTAACTGAATTCTGCAAGTTTTATCTATTTTATCTAATAGATAAAGTAAGATTTTATCTATTATCTATCTGTTGTGTTCTTCATATACTATATAATTAAAAAAAAAAATCATACTATTCACTTCAAAGATTAGTTTAGCTGTTCCTCACAGAGCAGCAGTTTTCCTCCAGCAGCTAAATCTGTACGTTTAGAACTCTTTGTCACTATGTCATTACATTTTGTTAATGCTCAAAATAAGAGCTTCCTAAATACATACGCACATCAGTGTCTTTGATTCAACATCAAGTAATGACTGGTATAATTCAGATTAAAAAAAATAAATTTTTAAATGTACCTTCAGTTTAGCATCAGGGTTCAGGATCATCTGAGCTAAGTGAGCGATAGCTCCTGCATCCACTACTGTCTGTGCTAACTCTGGAGAATGCTTTGAAATATCACTGAGAGTTGAAGCAGCAATCCTTTTCAAAGCAATTTCTGGCTCCTGGATACAGAGCACTAAAAGAGGAACAGCTCCTGCATCCACCACAGCTTGTGACAGTTCTGTAGGTCCAAGGAAAGTAATTAAGTGAGTATGGGTGACTGACCCTTGTGCAAGCCATTTTTCACCCTGACAGATACAGCAAAGGAAAAAGGGGAGGGTGTAGTTCACTGTCTCGACATCTGCATTTCAAATCAGCCCTCCTGGTTTCATAAACCGTGTGGACCAATCCACAACTGAAAAGAATGCAGGTCAATAGATGGACCCCCATTTACATGCACACATTTGAGGTAGATTAGGCTGAAATGGTTTGTTATTCTGTTTTCTTTTTCTTTTTTTAAAGTAAGCAGATGTCAGCTGTTTAAACCCTGGCTATTCTACACTGATCAATAGGAAAGCATTTTATGCATGGCTAACAACAACACAGAAAGCCAAAGTACCAAAATTTTACCAACCACCTAATTAGAGAGCATTTTACCCTCTTTAAATGATAAGCAGATATTAGCATAGATCAAATGCCAAAAACAGAAATACAAAAAACATATATAAAAGACTGGAAAAATGAAACTTGCTGATCAAAACAAGGCTTTGCCACCATCCATGGGACAAGACAGAATTTATACTTTAATGACATGAAAATGTTATCATACACAATTAGACAAATGAGAAATATCATCAGTGGGATATTGTGTGCCTGAGACTAGTACAATATCCTTAACTATCTGCACCTTAAAAGAAAAAAAAAATCTGAGCATATGATTAGCTGACTTGGACAAAAATTACACTATTAGAAATTCATTAGCTCTCCCTGTGCATGCAGCATTAATCACTGTCCTAAAACAAGACTTACTGAATATCACAAGCAAAATTTCTACTACAACCAAGCTATGCTGTTTTAAAATAGTGGTAAAAATTATGGGGGATTCAATAGTCTATTAGGTTCCTAGTACAGTTTTGCTACACCTTATTATGCATATCCATTATTATCTTTTACATTTATCTTGACTTACAGTACCATGGCAACATATGGCTGTTGTATTTCAAGACTCTAACTTAGCTTTTGATTTATAGTCCATCCATAAAGAGATTTTCATACTAAGAAAAATATAGCATACTTCATTAAATATACATAGGCTAATACAGTTTTTCATGAAATCTGTAAGTCATGTCATCATTTCATTGTTAATATCCAAATAATTTTCCTGACCAGATTTGTTTTCAATTAGCAAGTTACAGCCACACACTCCAATAAATGTGATAAGCCAAATATTTACACTGTATGGTATTTTATAATATTATAATTTGTGAGGTAATATTTATACTTAAAATATTATAAATAATGCAGTAATTTTTAAACTAATATACAATTAACCCTTCAAGGTTCTCTTTTCAAATAACTATTTGACTGAAAATTTAGAGTGCGTACCCTTCAAACACACACAAATAAGATTTCAACAAAACCCAAATGCTGTATCTTCAGTTCTACAAATTTGAAATTAAAAATACTTGAAACATATCTGAAAACAAACGTGAAAACTAGCTAATAGATTTAAGTGGTATAACTCAGCTTTTCATGGAAAAAACATACTCAATTGCTTCAAACTGTCTTTCAATGCTGTACACAGACCAATTTGGGCATGAACAACTGACCAAGGGTCCAGATTAATCCATCTGACTGCCTCAGAAGCAACTTCAGAACAACCAACTCAATTGCCCACAGTCTGCCACGAAGATGCTAATATTAGGAAAATCCTGTCAAGAGGGACAGGATACTACTACAAAGAATGGGGCTCTTTGATGCCTTATGAGCTGAAATCATGAGGTTCAAGTAGGGAGAGAAACAGCAATACTTTAAGATCACAGCTACACCTAGGCATGCAAAAGTAACCATAAAAGTTATTTGAAGAAGGCAAACTAAATCTGATTCAATTTAGATCAGCTCTTGCTGTTAGAAGTCCGATATCATTTAAATCCTGATGGTTACTGTTGGTCATGGTTGATTAAATGGTTGTTCTTCCAGTGGTGTTTATAAGGTTCATGGCTAATAACTTACCACATGGAGGGCTCAACCATGTGTCAAGCAGTAAACCAACTGTCAGAAAAACAGGAAAGCTGAAACAAGGACAAAAGAAAATCTAGATCCTCTACCACACTCCCCTACAAACAGCCCAAAACTACAATTCTAAGTACTAATGATTCTTTGACAAATGCAATTCTTTTTTCCCCAAAAGAGAGGCTCAAATAACCTTCCCACTTGGTAGAATGTCTTTAGTTCAGACTACATACCAAAGAATTAATGACATTTTACTATCCAATTACAAAACACAGGCAGAAGTGAAAAAAAATGAAGGCCGAGATGAGTTAAAGGATCAAACACAGTTGTCAAGAAGAAATTTAAAAAAAAATAGTCAAAGAAATTAAAAGATGGAACAAATTACAAAATACTTTTCTGAACACTGTGCCAAGACTGTTATCTGGGCAAAGAAGAGACCTATAGCTGAAGAGGAGAAAGGAGAGAAAAATACTTTATGAACCTCATTTAAATCCACAACAAGTCATGAAAAACCTGGGCTTGGAACTTCAGTTTGGGGTACAGCCCAAGGAACCTGTCCAACTACATTATGATAAAGTAGGACTTCTCCCTGTGTGGAGGAATGTCGGAAGTGTTATTCTATGTATGCTCAGACAAAAGAACTTGGACTCAAAACCCACTATAAATTAGTTGCTTTTGTTGAGAATAATACGAGGAAGATTTTGCCGAGGGAGATACTGCGGACATGAAGACAAATGGACATGGATGTGTAAGAAAGACTGATAAAGACTTAGAGTTTAAGATGTCACCAGTTCAACTAGAAATTGTACTGATTTGTCTCAATACAAAAGTTCTCATCAGAGACTAAGAAATTAATTCAAAACTGAGTGAGGCCTAGTCACGAGTTTATTGATCAGGAAGACTGGAAAATGAACGAAGAGGAGTCAGTAAGTTCCTGACTACATACCCACTGAAATCAATAGGAAGTCTCATAGGGTTGATCTAAAGCAACCTGAAGCGTTACAAAAAAAATTACACACTAACATTAATATATTAGCAATAATAATATGAATTTTTTAAAAAATATTAGGCAGAAAAGATGAAGGTGAGAAAGTGAATATGCAGGTAGTCCCCAGAGAAGGAAAATCAGCTGGGAACAAATGCCATATGCACACAGTGGATAGCAGCAGCAGAACCTTCTTTGCCTGGCAGAAAATGCAAGTTTCAGTCCAGACCAGGGTTCTCAAGCAGACCCGGCTGAGGTGGCAGGTGTATCCTCAGGAAATAACAGGCTTTGACCAAAACAGCCACTGTCTTTTTCTGAGGACTGTGTGATCGTGTAATGGCCACAGAGGAAGACTAATCCCCACAAGCAATCCAAAGGCTTTCAGGTTTATGCAGCCCACTACATCCACAGTGCTAATGATTCCAGTGGAACCTGTGGGAAAAGCTTTCACCAGAAGGACAGAGGTCATTAGTTACAGGCAGGCTTAGATCCTGGAAAAAGACAGAGTTATTACTAGACTCAAATCAGTGAAGAGATGAGCAAGCTGGTCTAACCTGTAGCTGACCCTGCTTTGGGCAGGAAGATGGACCAGTGAGATCCCAAGGTCCCTTCCAAGCTGAGGTATCCTATGATCTTAAGAGTACCCCTGTATGTAACTCAGCTTTCAGCAGCAAGCTTGAGTATAAATTGAGTGTTGTTTACTTTTGTTTTCCTACCCATTTACAATGTGTTGAAGCAGGCATGAGACAGAAAGTTACACCTTATATGTAGGCAAAGCAAACAGAAAGGTAAGTTATCTGCATATCTCAAACACAAGTATTTTGCATTTTAAAAGTAACTGAATATGGTATAAGTAAAAATTTACAAAATACTTGTCACAGACTTGATGTTATTTTGATAGTATTTGAAAGACTTCACACTTGTTTTCAAACCAAATAGTAGAAATAATAAATGGCAAAATACAGCACACTGATCTGTATACCGTGGAGTAAGATCTGAAATTCAGCTCAAAGCAATCTTCAAGAATGAACATAACTGCTAGAGCTGTTGCTAAATTTTGAAAGCTGACCTGGCAAGATTTCTAGTGTCTTGAAATCTTAGGAGACATCTGTCTTGACCTAAAATCTCACAAACCTTCTGGAGACATCTGTTCACAGAACTGCATTTTAAGAGATTGTCGTATGAAGACAGTAGGGAACTTGCTAACCAGAAAACATGTTCATCAGGGAAAGAAAGAAAAAAAAGTCTTAATTTCTCAAAATTGAAGTCCTTTCATGGGAACATACACCACCGTTCCTAGAGAGCAGCTTTACCAGGTCACAGATGGAAATTCTGATTGAAAGCAGAGACACCCTCCCATTGCAGCTATTGCCTAATGCTAGGAACCTTTGCTTGTATTCAGGGAGACAGAGGTTGACATCCTGCCTAAGACAGATCAGGACTTTAATCTGTCTCCCACATACATCCCAGACATATGCCCTAATTATTGAATTTTCTTGCTGGGGGCAATAAGCCTCCCTACCCCCCAAGTCTTTTCAGCAGAGAAAAAAAAAAAAATCTTGTCTTAATGTTGTCCCAGTTTGGAACCGAAAAAATTTATGAAACCGAAAAACCTTCTGTGGGTGGGGAAAACCATTTCACACTCAACTCTATTTTTAGAGTTTAAGCTACAATATGTGTCCATAGACAGTCAATGACAGAAAATCATAACTGCCAAATTTTATCAACACAAGCATGTGAGTGTAATCCAGAGTTTCTTGAACAGAAAACACCAGATGTTGATAAGAAAAAGTCCATCTATCTTTGTATCCCATCTCCAACAATATCCTGTTGCAAAGGCATGCTTGTAGGAGTGTAAGAAATATACCACGCACAGAGGATCTTTCTTCAATCTAACTCCTCTACTTTCAGTAATCATTTTAGAGACTTCCTGTGACTGTGTTATAAAGGAAGGTAAATCCCCCAAATTGGCTGTAGCTGTGCAGGGGAAGAACAACTTTCTTTTTTGTTTTGTTTTGTTTTTTAACCGATTACATCCAGTGATCTGTCATCCTGATGCTTGCAGCCTGCTAGCACTTGCAATTTCAACCTAATTTCTGAAAATGCTGTCTTATCACTGGCACAAATTGACATGAGACGTACTCATTCACTGTCAGTGAATAAATAATTCAGAATTGTGGAATAAAAATCTGTACAAGGAGTTTGCTGTCTTCAATACCCCCACGCGATCTCCATCTTTGTAGACAATGCCATCAGAGACTGAACTGGATCACCCTAAAGATCAACCAGCATTCATGCAATGAATAGCATGAAGGGCAATTGAGGTGAGTCAATATTGATTTACTGACATAACAAAACTACAGAAATGTTTATGTTAGAGAGTAGCACAGACACACACTTGCACTACACATTTATACAAAGGAACACTTTCAAATGACAAACAAATATCTTTCAAATGGAAGTAGCAATTATTTTCCACCAAGGGTGGGATTCAGACCCGATGACCAAGAGATAAAAGATCTTTAGCACACAGAGGTGTCCCAAGAATGAATTTGTTCCCCAGAAAAAGCAGTCTGTTAGGAAGGTGCGGACAACTACTGAGTCTGTCCCAGGAAATTAATTCTCTAAGTGGGACGGGGAAAGCACCCATACCTTCCACTGTCCTGCACTTCGTATCGATCAAATAAAAGAAAAAAGAAAATTACAAATTCCATCTATGTACATTTTAGATCCAAAACCAAACATAAATGCATGAGTTAATGTTGCAATCCTAGAATAATTTTAACTTTAAACAGTATGAGCCATTTCTCCCATCCATCCCAGCCAGCAGTTTCTTCCCTCAGTTCTTTGATTCATAGCTCTAAACTTTTACTCAGACTATATAAATAGCTCAGAAAAGAATTATCAACCACGTGGATCAACTTTTAAATAGGAACATGACACTGCCAGTGAGTTATACAACTACTTGTGAGACAGCAGTGAACTGCTTGATCCTAGATCCTAGATTCCTAGGATCTATTCCTGACTCTTGCAGAAGAGTGTTGTCTACTGGCTAATGATAATACAGTCAGTACAATGAATTTGGAACTTCTATCCTGCAGGCATTGCTGTAAACTCAATGTAACTTGATTCTGCCTAGGCTTCTCCATTTTACTACATATATAAAATAACAACTTGCATGGAGCAGAAGAAACTTTGTTCCACAGTAACCCTTATAAAATACACAAAGATTCTGAAATTTCTTCATGAAGGAGAATAAAGCAGAGTGTTGTTTCCTGGTCACAGGCTCTATGTATCTTCTTTTAGAGCATCACATAACCAGGCACTGCCAGCATCAGACATACCGGTTTCCCACAAAAGGTACAACATTGTCAGACTGGTGTAGAGTAGGTTTTTATTCCAAATTTAAGTTCCTAAGAGTAGAGAAGAAAATGCATCTTGTTCTATTTATGAATATTGCAATACTGCAATTTATTATAACCCTCACATGGCATTAAGCTGAAAGATAACACATGTAAAACCTGTTACCTGAATTGTGTCGGGCAATATACCCAAGTGCCCAAGATGCAGCTTCTTTGACTCCAGGGTCAAAATCTTCCAAGCAAATCACAAGCATTTCCAGTGCTCCACAATCAACTATTGCCTGAGCTAGCTGTGGAGAATGTTTACCAACTGCTCTTAACACAAATGCAGCTGCTTTCTTGTAGAAACGCTATACAAATCAGGGGGAAAAAAAAAAAGCTTTTATTAACATTAGGTAGTTCAAAGCATAATACAGTGCAGACATGCATAAATTAGACTTATTTTTAATAGCAGCAATATCTCATACAGATCCAAATCAGGACCACCAGACATCACACAATGAACCTACAGTCCTTGTTTGAGACAGCTCATGATCTAAAATTTGCAGTACATGCATAAACAAACAGAAAAAATGAGAGTGCTAAGAGGATATGAGGAAAAGATAATAGCCTAGATAAGTCTGTTTGTTTAAGTGAGTAGTGAATGGTAAGAGCTGCAAAAACAATAGCTCTTAACATATTTAACCAAAGTTATGCAGGGCCAACTCCTGAAATTTTATCCATCTCTGACACCTGCAAGGTTCCACAATTTGTAATTTATATACCCTCACAATATCTCTATGAGAAAACATTGCTTACATTTACAAATTGGAAACTGAGACACAGAGAATTATATCCAACAAAAGGATTTAGGATCTGAACCCTGAAATGCCCAAATACTGCCTAAGCCCATAGCCAAGATCCTGAAAACCCATCCCACCAAACACCCAACGCTTAACGACCCTTGATTTTGACCAGGCAGCCTGCAATTTTACTCCTGCATGTAAAACTCCAGAAACAGCTCACTTTCAACAGGCCTAAGCACCTTGGCACCCGTCATAAATTCAAACAAAATCCACATACTTGTCTCAGTTCTACCTATCTCCCTCAGTGCTGGACCAAATACATGCTTTCAGCATATATACATATAAAAAAAACATACGATGCTGCACACATCATGGGGTTCCATGTAGTTTCTTCTAAAGGCACAGTTATAGCCTTCGCCCCAGAAGTCATATTTCAGTTTCCTCCTGCAGTTTCAAAACTATCACTGGGATATGGAAGCTGAAGATTAAAATTCTTCCCGTCTTACAGTTTCAAAATCCAGAAAACCCAGTTAAAATACTCTGGCCAGAGACAACAGTGTTGTGAGAAAGACTGTTCCTCTCCCGCGTGAGGACACTGTGCAGCAATGAGTGCAAGATTCACTGGGACACAGGTAATCTACTGCTATGCCCGTGTGCCCAAAGTATGCTCACCAGCCTGGCAGTTGACAGATCATCCCTATGGACAAGCTCCAGAGGGGTCTCTCTCCATGTGCCAGCTGGCTTTAATCTCATTCCAGGAAGCTTGATCCTCCCCTGCTCTGCACAGGGAGCCTGGGCACTTTGCAGTGCTAGATTCCTACTATCGAAGTACCCAAAACTTAAACAATGCAAAGCCCACATCCCTTTTGGATCAAGTCCAGAGAAACAAAGAACCACATGAGTGCTTTCGTGCATCCTGTAATGTGCCCAAACACCCTCAAAAGTCTGATCTAAAAGCACTACGGTACGGCAACAGAGGAGTACCTGCAGTGGCAACACAGGAAGTAAAATGGCCCAGGTCCACACCCCGGCCCCAAAGGTAAGTGACACCGCATACAGCATCCATCCATTCCCTTCTCCCAAAGCACAACCGCCCCATCTGTCCTACTAGAAACTATCCCTGCCTTGTCCTCTCCCCTACACCATGTCCAAACACTGCTAAGTAGTTGGATGGTTGGCATCGGCTAAAACGACATAAGGGCGCACATTAATTATCAAACAGCAGTCATCTTCCAGTGCTCAAACGCATGCCCTGACCCTCCTAGTTTACTAGTACAGATAGAATTCCTTAATGCCAAAGAGTTAAGGACTATAAGCAGGTACATTAAACATAATTTACAAGCAAAGTATTAAACATCAGAACAGAAGTTAAGGGAAACAGTACAGACAAAAATCAAATCTCTAGCTAACGTAAGCTTTGCTGAACTCAGTGGAGCTACAGTTGTTTACACGAGTCTCTGGAAAGACGGGTATGTTACTTCTGTTAAGTAACCATGCTCCTAGCAAAGAAAAACAGTTCTTTATTTGTAAATAAATGTGTTTTGAATAATAAAAACAAACCGTATTCACAGGCACCTCAGAACACACTGTATAACCATATTTTGCTCAGTTTAATTGACAAAACATTGATATAGGATGTGACCCTGTAACTGTTCTCCATAAATTAGTATTTATTAAGTGCTCATAGAATCTTCTCCTTAAATATAGCTATCGATAGACGAAGAGTGAGTGGAATGGAAACTTATCCGGGTTGCTTTTGGGTGCGTTATTTTGGGTGGGGTTTTTTTTGCCTATGGAAAGTAACAAACTGCACGCATTGCTAAACTCTGCATGAACTGGATAATGAGTTTCCTTCACTTGCCCTCAGTCACCAAGGCATAGTAGGCTTTCCATGACCTCACACTAATCTTGCTGCTGCCCCAAGTGATTGTGAATTACAGCCATCTCGATGTAAGGACAGCACGGGCATAACATGGAAGAGATAAATCAGGGTACTCAAGCTAATTTAGTGAAGGCTTTGGAGTTGTAGCAAGGGAGTTGTTTCCAACTCAAAAATAGAGGATAAAGTTTTGTTCCCCTTCTTCCCATAAAAACAGAAATAAAATTACCAAAATGGTTATAAATTTGTCTAAAACCTTAACTTTCTTTCCATAGTATACCAGTATCTTAACATCCAAGTTTTTCTTTGACATTTAAGATTAATTGTCTAGGCAATGACCAGATTCACACAAAATATGCAATGAGTACCTACATTTATGTTTTTCTCAAAGACTGAAAATGAAAATATATGGGGTTTGAAATTATATTTCAATTGAAATCCTACTTATCATAAATCTAATAAATCAAAACTGCAACCTAAGTATGTCTGTGATATCAATGCACTTAACTCTCAGCTGTCTCTTTCTTTTTCCAGTTATTAAGAACCTTATTTGAAAGTATTTCTGTTAATCTAGGTTAGGATCACTGAGGGGGGGGAAATCAAAGCTTCAGTATATGCAAAATTTGAAGAAAAATGGCAGAAAGGGGGAAAAAAAAAATAGACCATCAGATTAATTTGCATTGCAATTGTGAAGACACTTTTCTGGTGTTGGTTTTTTTGACAAATGCAAAAGATGAAAACCTTTCAGTGTATTTTGCTGTGTCAGTGGTTGGATATTTCACATGCTACAGATTTCCAGAAGACTATGTTTAGAGATACTAAATATTTCATTATAGAAGTTTAGGGTTCTTTTATATGTATTTTACAAGTATTTGGCATTATCGACAAATCCTAGCCAATTATCACACAGCTTTCAAAGTGTCTCATTTTTGAAGAGGGACCTTTTATAAAGCATCACTCAACATTTAAAAAAACATAGCAGTGCCACAAATAAGTTTTTTTTATCAGTGCACTAAAAGGTATCACGATATTTTAAAGTCAAACAGTATGTATTGATCTCTTGGGAGTTCAAACACACATGCTGTCTCTGACTTTGGTACATTTATTGCTATATTAGAATAACAGCAGATAGCTGATAGAGAAAGATTTCTCTTTCAAAAAAGATTACTTAAGAAAACAATGATGCCTTACATTCTGCTCAGACAACGAACACACAAGCTGTGGAAGAATGTCTCCCTTCACGACTGCCTCTGCCAGGTCATCGTTATAATTGGCAAGTCTCCCAAGAGCCAAAGCAGCAGTTTGTTGAATAGTTGGGACGACATCCAACAAAAGAGGTTTCAGCAAAGATATTACACCTGAGTTACACCAGGAAGAGAAAAGCCCATTTGGTAAGCAGAAATTTTTCTAAACATTTTCTTTTATTCATAAAAACCTATTAAATTACTCTTCCGGGTAAGAAGAACTTGCAGGAAATCCAGGTGTTCCACTGAAATGAAGTCGGCGCTTGGATAGCAATGCTAATGCATAGCAGTGTTTCTGCCCATTTTTCATAGGTACAAAACACTTCTGAAATACAAAAAAGCCACATGTAGAAATAAGCTATATTCAAACATCTATAAAATCAATGTGTTAAGGCATACACAAGAAAATAAAGTATATTCAAACACATATAAAATGCACATATTAAAGTATGCACAGGAAGCTCCATCTGGAGGATCTGGTGAGCTGACATTGGCACGTCACTCATTCAGCATGCCAGCAGAACCTCTACATTGAATTACACTAAATCACATTTCATCCATTATAAGCAATCATTGATTTGGGGACCAGTATCCACAATATATGACACTGCAGATAGAAGTGTTGAAGATTTCCTTTTCATATTGTTATTTACATTGTGTTTTCACTGATGACTCCACAGTGTATCAGTTAAACGTGAAAGAACACAGAAGTCCATTATCTAAGGTGGTCTTACAATAAAAGCTCGAAATGATAGGTGAGGTAAGCAGCCATGACGCAAACCATTAGCAGTTACAGCCTAAGAGAGTTCTTACATGGATAGACATCTGGATAAAAATAGGAAATGGGAGGAGTAAACTTCCCATTCTTGCAATAGGAGGCAGGAGGTCAGAGTGCAGTTCTGCAGGCCTCCGTGCTGGGACATGTGCTATTCACTACTCACCTGTGGCCTGGAACAGCATCAACGGGGAGGTGAGACTTCGCTAGTGACTCAGAGTTATGCCAGTGAGGGAAACTGTAAGGAACTAGAGACTGAATGACTGGATCACAAAATGGCAAGTGAAATGGAGCATGTGTGGGGAAGCCAGTCCCAACCTCACATATATGAGCTGATGGATTCCAAAGAGATCACTACCACCCAGGAGAAAGATCTCAGTGTTAGAATAGACAGTTCCAGGGAGATACCAGCTCATTGCTCAGTAGCAGAAAAGAAACTTCACCCACATAAGTATACAGAACACTCAGAATTATCTGGAAAGAAATAGAGGCCAAAGCAGAGAGCACCCCTATGCTATTGTATAGAACTATCCTGCATTTAATACCCTCTCCTAGAATACAACTGGAAAAGGTTAAGCAAAAGGCAACAAGGATGATCAAAGATGACCACTGTGTGTGGAAGCTCTCCCTACAGTTAAACTAAGATTCTTCAAGAGGGGTATAAATGAGATCCACATGGTTTCATATATTGGGGGGGGGGGGGGG